AAAAAAAAAAAAAAAAAAAAAAAAAGTTCAACCTAGGAACACGATGTTAACAGAAGAGATCTGTCATTATGCAACCAGTACGGCACTCTGAACAAACACTGAAAACAGCTCTCATCTCAAGGAACCCAGGCCTTGTGTCACAGTATGGGAAATTAGATGCTGGGGAAAACAGTGCTGTATGAACGAAGACTTCCAGCCAGCCATTGATCTCTTTGGACCCATTACTTTGCATTCCCAATCATATTAGAACCCTTCCCATCCAGAGGCTCCCCAAGACTTTGAACAGTTCTTCAGTGGCCCTTACAGAAAGATACTCTCTCCAGACAAATGCAGTATTTATATTCAGTCCACTGGATCTCTAGGAAACAGCAGAATTATCAGTGAAGAATCTATTAAATGGCTCAAGGCTTACTGTGAGGGATATTTCTATGGCTTGACAGCAAAACTCCTAGAACTGGTTCCTTTTTCTGCAATGAGGTGTTCCTTTAGAGTCAATGATAACTCACAAACAAAGCCTGCAAGTTCATGCAGGGGACATGGTGAAGTTCTTAAAAAAGAAGAAACCTGAAAATGCCTGTGTCAATAACAATGATTGATCTCTACCCAGGAGACACCTGAAACTTTGTCTTTGGACGGCTCTCTTTGACAGATGGTGTAGGGATATTCAGCTTTGCTAAGTATGGCAGTGATTTTTAAAGCTTGTGCTATGAAGGCAAAGGGAGGAAGTGCCAGAAAACATTTTCAACTGACTATTCAATTTTTGATAACTATTACATTCTGGAAAGAACTACTGTTTCAGTACATTGAGCCCGTAAGATTTTAACCCATGAGACTGGACACACACGTGGAATGTGACACTGTTGGTAGCTTCACGTCTAACGCAAGGCCCCAACCACCTGGAGAAAGCTGACCGGCGCCCTCTTGCCCTGTCTGTTTACGTGAGTTGCAGAGCACTACTGACTTCAGCACTGTAGAAGGCTACAGAGCACTGGTGGAGTGGATTGATAATGAATCTGCTGACACACCTGGAGTAACTCCAAAACAACAGGCCTGAGGATAATGCGACTTTACCAAAACCTGTGGAAGCCTTATAAGGAATGGAAGGATGGATAATAAAATGCCTTGCCGTTCTCCAAAAATAAGGACCTTCAAATAGGAGTAATTGAAATAAATACTTGTACATTATGCTTTCAAACAAACAAACAAACAAAAAAGAGCACTGGAATGAGACTTACATGTCTAAAACCTCCAGAGAATATGGCACTGGGCGCCGGACTGGATGGGAGATTCTGTTGCTTCAAAATAGGGTTAGTAGAACATTTGGGATCCTCTTGATTGAGAGATTTCAGAATATCTGGTGCACTGACCTTCTGGAGAAGGAAAAACAAAAATAGTCTCCATCCCTGTTTGGTTTTGTTCCAATGTGGTGACTTCAGCAAGCATCTATTACTTGATATTACTAATACGCAAACTTCTGAGTAGGAGGACACACTTGCATTTGGTATATGTGTGTGCGCGCACACACACATATGCACACACACATATGCACACACACGCACACACATGCATGCACACAGGGCCCAGAGACAGACAACATCCAGCTTTGGGATAGTCATGAACAGTAATGGGTAGATCACTCATGGATTAGTAAAAGTCTTAAAGAAGTCCAAATTTTAGCCTTAATAAATGGTCCTGGCATTTAATCACTTGTTATATAACTGGCCTGATAAGCAGAGTTTTAGCTCTAAGATGCTTATAAAAAGGGAACAATCAAAATACGTCTCTAAATTTTCTAAAAATACTTTGCTAATTGTTGGCCCTTCTTTATTTTTTCTTTCTTTTTTTGAGATGGAGTCTTGCTCTGTCACCCAGGCTGGAGGCTGGAGAGCAGTGGCACAATCTTGGCTCACTGCAACCTCCATCTCTCGGGTTCCAGCAATTCTCCTGCCTCAACCTCCCAAGTAGCTAGAACTACAGGCATGTGCCACCACACTGGCTAATTTTTGTATTTTTAGTAGGGATGGGGTTTCACCATGTTGGTCAGGCTGACCTGAAACTCCTGACCTCAAGTGATCCACCTGCCTCAGCCTCCCAGAGCGCTGGGATTCCAGGCATGAGCCACCGCGCACAGCGAAGCTGACACTTCTGTGATGTATACAGCTGTGTTTTCCAATATGGTAGTCACTAGCCACACGTGACTACTCAAATTACTTGAAATCAAACAAAATTAACTTCTCAGTTGCGCTCGACCCATTTCAAATGCTCAGTGGCCACATGCAGCCATGGTCATTGTTTGGACAGCTCACATAAAGATCATTCCCATCCCTGCAGAAAGTTCCATCGGACAGTGCCCGTAGAGCGCAATAAACACAACAGGCAAGGTGGGAAAACCTCTTAATGGCTGAAAATACCAACTTTCCAAGTGGAGACTTTAGTTTTTGGTGCTGGGTTGGAAGCAGAACTCAGAAATACAACTGTTGCCCCACAGTCATAATTTTCAGGAAGAAAAAACTAAGTTGAGAATACGACAGAACAAATGAAAGAAAAGATTACCTCCGCGTTATTGATGTTCTGCATCCCCAGAATGCCAACATAATTCCTACAGACATTTATTTGTTAGGCAACACTATATTTGCGCCACCACGCGAAATTCTGGGGGCTGGTAGAAGGGGAGGAAGAGAGGAGAAAGAG